CCCAGCGACTTAAGACTGGTTTTGTGCTCCAGGGTCACATATGCTGTTTAGGTATATGTTTTAAAGCATGGCAGCTGGTTTGAGCTGTTTTAAGCTGGTCTTTATAGTTGGTCATGAGCTGGTCCTGAGCAGGAGCTAGTTGCTTAGACCAGCTCAGAACCAGCTTAAACCACCTCAAACCAGCTGCCATGCTTCAAAACATATACCTAAACAGCATATGCTGTTTTTTCAACAGGATAGATAGATAGATAGATAGATAGATAACACTGGATGGAATGGTGGATGGATCTATCTGTATATACAGTACAGTGGTAGAATGTTGGATGGATGGATGGAAAGCTCTATCTGTATATATATTCAGAGACAGAACATTGGATGAAGGGATGGATAGACTTATCTACATATAATGATAGAACGTTGATGGATCTATCTGTATAGACTGATTCTTTCATGCTATTATTGTGTGGCTGATCAAACTCCAGATGTGAACTTCTGGTTACTCGGTACGTTCTGCATCATCCAGCTTCACCTGTCAAAGCGTGAATCTCATCCAGCAAGCGTCTTCATTTCACCATTTATTAATTTCTTATAATGAGCGGCCGTGCTGAGTTGGCATTCCCTCCAATTAATGGCATTCCCGATTTTTTCCCCTCCAATTAATCATTCCTTGGAACCTACTGTTTTTGATTAAGCAGGAGGCAGTTTGAGAAGATAAACGCAGCGCTGGGCGAGGAAACCTTCTGCTGTGTAATGAAAGCATCCACATATATCAGGCAAAGAGCAGCTTTATTTTAATCATCATGTCTATTGGGGTTTCTCTGCAAATGGCAGACATTCAGAATAAGAAAGTATTACGCAAACGCGACGAGTTTCGCTATTTCTGTCCCTTCCTGACCAGTTAGCCATAAGGTCAATGCTGAATTCAGCCGTTTTTTTCTGCTTTGAGCAGCCTGAGGCCTCATTTATAGATGTGAATATATGAATGTACAATGATGTACAAGTGACCCTACTGACTCTTCTTAATGAATGCTCCAAGTTTTGTGCATGATTCATCACAGTATGCCTTAATAAATGATCAAATGCATGGAATTTAAGATCAAATCTAATGCACATGCATTTTAAAGACACTCTAGGACTGTACTTCTCAAATGCACTTTCTTGCCTCAATCAATTGAATGACTGAATGCAGTTTAAAACATTTGTGTTACATGCTATTGCATATACCTGCCTTTTAAAAGGTGGTATACAGTTTATACACTGCACTTTGAAGTCTGTAAGAGTTTTTGAATGTTTTTGAAAGAAATTTCTTATGCTGACCAAGGCTGCATTTATTGGATCAAAAATACAGTAATACTGTGAAATATCATCACAAATTAAAATGACTGTTTTCTATTAGAATATATTTTAAAATGTAATTTATCCCTGTGATGCAAAGCTGAATTTTCAGCATCATTACTCCAGTCTTCAGTGTCACATGATCCTTCAGAAATCATTCTAATATACTCAAGAAACATTTCTTGTTATTATCAATGTTGAAAAGAGTTGTGCTGCTTCATATTTTTGTGGAAACCACATGATACATTTTTTTTGTCATGATTGTTTAATGAATAGAATGTTCAAAAGAACAGCAAAATAAAATATTTTGTAACATTGTCACTTTTTTATCATTTTAATGCATCCTTGCTGAATAGAAGTATCAATTTCTTTCTACAAAATCATACCCCAAACTATGTATATTCTGTTATGAATATGGCCTATGTCTTTGGTAGATACACATAGGCTACCTGCAAGGCAGCAATACACAATGGACAAAGAAGCAGACAGAAAATTGAGTTTGTTTTTGAAACGCAAAACAATCAGTACTTGATTTTACACGAAGCAGCATCAGTCTCCACTTACTTAGCTCTGTTTTATGAATTCACTGAGAACAGAACAAGAGTAATTTATGTAAGTGCACCCCATGATTTTCTCCTATTTCTACCTCTTTCATCATCTGAAAAGGACAAAATCAGGCACAATAATACTTGTTCTTGTAGTCGTCGTGCAGAACTGCTCTGTAGAACTGCATTTATCTTGTGCTTTGTTCTTTGCTGCTGCGTCTGATTCCACTGTATTGATTAAACTAAGAAGGGCTCGTCTACATTACAGTGTTGTCTCATAGCAATTATAATCTTCCCTCAGCACAGGTGTGGAAGTGTTTGCTTTCCACCTCATTCTCCATCTCAGAGCTTAGAGGCATGAGTCTCCTGAATATATTTTATAGAAGCACAATCAAAATGTAGATTTATAATGAATGAAATGCCACAAGCCAAAATTGTATTCAGCTGAACTTGAAGCAAATGGTTTTTTTTTCTTTTGCCCTGAAATATCAGCTTCAAGATAATTATAATGAGGCGAATGGCCTCTGTTTCTTTCCCACAGCCAAAAGACATTATACCAAGACGCAGTGTTGGTGTAACACTTTATCTGAGTTCCTTTTTCAAATAAGTAACGCCAGTTCCTTTGTTTTTCCATGTCTTGACTGACAGCTCTCCTGTGAGAAATCTGGAGTAATGCAGAGGTTTTCTGTGCACTGCGTGAACATGATGCAGTTCTAGACTAAATTTATTTACTCATCTCACTTGCACAAAAACAGATTCAGTATTTCTCAAAATGAATAAAAACAGTGAAGAGCAAACTCAGAATATAACGCAAACCTGCAATAATTGAATGCAACAAAAAAATCCTTTATTTATTTCCTTCAGCCTGAGGCTTATTCATCTCACGTTTGGTGTGAAATGGCTTTTACATTTGCCAAAAATAGAATGTTTTTATATTAAAAACAAACAAGCAAGCCCAGATCAGAAAAAATAATGCAAAAGTAACATAGCACATTACTTTCCATAAAAAGTAACCAAAGAAAACAATTAGTTACTTTTTCATGGAGTAACGATATTGCAATGCATTACTTTTAAAAGTAACTTTCCCCAAATCTGCCAAGACAGTGCACTCAAATTATTGTGAATGGAAGAAAGTGCTATGCATAATAAGGCGGAATAAGTACCACTTTGTAAATAAATAGCCAATGGCCAGTTGCTAAAGTCATTATGTCATTGCAGATGACATTAGACGCTCTGGACGCATTGACTGGTCCAGCCTGAAATATAAGCTTTTAAGCACTATTTGAACATAAGGAATAACATTCATGCGGCAGTTTATGTCAGATTTTGATGCTGATTTGAAATATGTAAATATGAGTGTGGCAAGCAGTTTTTTTAATTTTTGGTACCGCTATCCAGTGTAATTACAACAGTGAGATATTAACGAAAATGAAAGCCAATTAGTTAACTGTAGGGGGCTCCAAAGTCGCAAAAATACACAAAATTACATATGGTTTCTAAATTCTGTCATTATTTACTAACTCTCATGCATGTCGTTTCAAACCTGTATGCTGTTATTTCTTTCCATGGAACAGAAAAAAAAAGAGTTATTTTGAAGAATCTTAACACAAAAACAAAGTTCCATAAAAATAGACAATAAGACTATATAAATGGAAAACAACTATCATCAAAGAAAAAAAAAAGTGAAATGTAGAATTGCTCATTATGCCCGTCTTAATTCACATGCTGTTTGTCAATAAAGAGCACCGGGGCAAATCTCAACGCTTCTGCCGCTTAATGAGGCAATAAAGGATGTCAAATGCAGTTTCTAACCAATTTTATCCAAATGCAAATAAGAATAGAGGAAAGACTTCTATTTAAAAGAGTCTAGTATGCAGTAATGCAGTGAAATGGCTTTTTTCAGTTGTTAATGCCAAGTTTTCAGTTGTCAATACATTTAAAAAAAGCAGGGTAGTGTTAAAAACAGTGATACTTTTTCCAGGATTCTTTGATGAATATAAAGTTCCAAAGAAGAGCATTTATTTACAATAGAAATATTTTGTAACATTGTGTTTTTACGGCTACTTTTGATCAATTTACTGTGTCCTTGCTGAAGAAAAAAATATTATAAAAGTATTCAGTTGGCACATTTTTTGTTTACATGCACATACATACATACATACATATATATATATATATAAAACTGATAATAGTGTTTAAATTTGAGGATAAGTCTATAATATAATATTTCAAGTTGAAGCATTTCAGGACATGATACAAAAGAAATCAGAATCAGAATCAGAATGAGCTTTATTGCCAGGTATGTTTTCACATACGAGGAATTTGTTTTCATGACAGAAAAGTAGAATCAGGTACAGAAGATCATTTTGAAGCAATCTTTACCCAAAATGCAAATTCTGTCATTATTTATTCACTCTCATGTAATTTCCATCCCGTATCTGTCAATTTTCTGTTGAACACAGATTTCAAACTCCAAAAAAGACAAAGAAAAAAAAGTACCACAAATGTCTTCTGAAGCCTGCCTGAGGAACATACTGAAATTACAGTTATTACTGATAACGTTACTTTCTCTCAAAATTCAAATAATAATTTGAGTTTGAAAACACTGTCACTGTAATTTTTGCACATGCTGTAACCAAACATGGGCATGCCAAATCATAAATATGTAGCGGAGAATCAAATTTGAGAGCTGCAGTGCAGGATTTTTCAGTGAATAATGACTTTTCATTATTCAGTTTATTCCTCACACCGAGTTATGACTTTAGAAGACTATGAATATAGCTCAAAAGAGCACTTTAATGGTGACAGCCATGGTCACAATGAATTGTTCCTCTATAGAAATGAACCGTATGAAGATTCTTCAAAAAAAAATCCCCTTGTGTTTCACAGAAAAAATAACGGCATATTTAATACATGAGTGACTAAATAAAGGCCAAATTTCCATTTTTGATTGAACTGTTCCTTTAATGTCAGGACAGACTGCATATTTAGCCTTTTGGTCATTCTTATGCTGATACAGAAGCTCTTCTCTGAAAGGAGTCCCCAGACATTATTTGATTTCAGAATATGGATTGCATCCAAAGAGATTTAATGCATTTCATTCAGAAACGGGATCGATGTCGCAGGAATCATTTGAATTCAAATGACTTTGAGCAGCGCTGAAATCAAGGTCTGACTGGTGCAGTTCATTCCTCGTCTTCATAGAGGACTTCATCAATAGGAATATCATGTTCACCCACTGGGACTTCAGCACACAGCTGCTCTTTGAAAGCCAAGGCCATGGTGTACGGCTTTCCCTTCGGGTGCATCCTACAGCGCTCCAGATACGTGTCGTAGAAATCCTTTCCTCTGCCAAGCCGATTCCCCTTCTTATCAAATCCCAAACCAGGCATGAGGATAAGATCTAGTCCTCCTGTAACAAAATTAGAAAGGAAAGACAGTAATTAAATAAGATTATGTGGATTATGCAGATTTGCTGTTGGAGCTCTAATTACACCATTACAGCACAATACAGTGAATTTTCAGGCCTCAAGAACCAAAAAAAAAAAAAAACGTGCAGGGAAGCCAAACATGCTTCGAAATGAAACCACTGAGTGGATTTCAGGCAATACAGACTGTCATTTAAGAGCTAGAAACACAAAGCATCTGTGTGCTTACAAAAAAGTTATATGTGTTTTATAGAAGAACATACTTATATTTCACAGGTTTTCTGTTCATTTGCAAATATATTCTGGCTATTTATAATGGAAAATATGCATCATGCATGCTTTGTAATTGACGGATATAATCAATGCATGTCTATTTTGAAATTACAGTAGCTTCTTTTAGACGATAGTTGCAGACATGTAAAGCAATGACAACTATTAGTGGCTAATTATAAGTATTACACAAAATAGGTTTGAAGATTCTGATTCTGATTAACACAAGAATGTGGCAGTAAATATACTGCAAAAGTATGCTGAAACTAATATAATTTAATGCAGAGCAAATCATTATTCTAACCTCAATATCTTAGAGGAAGAAGGTAGCTTGTTTTGCAGTCCATACATAGCTAACAAACTTTCTATTTTCAAACACTGTAAATAATTATTTTTCAAAGTTGTAAATAAAAAATGATTGGACTGTGTTACAAAGAAGACTCTTTCAGTTTTTCTAATCTAAAATTTCACGTTTAATTCAATGTGTCATTTCTTCGTATCTGTTTGTGAAATTTACTCAAGGACGCTCATGCAGCCAGCAAATACAAAATCACTCTGCGCCGCATTCATGAAACAAGCAGAACAAATTGTGTACAAATCATGGGTAAATCCATTAGTATGCAAACTTTGAAATTTAATGCAAATATTTACAAATGGATTATAGCACTGCAGAATTGGTGTAATATTTACTTTTGCCAGATGTACACTGCAAAGGTGGCACAAAAGCGCTTCTGAAGTGGTATTTTGGTGTCTATAAAAACCATGTATAAAAACATGGACGTAGTGTCTGTGACGTCACCCGTAGGTTTCTGAAGAGCGTTTTTGAAGCTCAAACCCTGCATTCCATTCGGAAGGGCTCATCCCTATGCCCTAATATCCCTTCAAAGGGTTTACCCTCCGGAGTGAGAGCTTCGAAGGGTTGAAGGGTGTAACCGTTTCTTGAAGTGCCCTTCTGCGTCATCATCACGTGCCCACACGGAGGCGCCGTCATCATGCAAAGAATCTGCGCAAAGGATCATGGGAGCCCGAAGTGTCCATCAGTTGTACCCTTCGAAATCCTTCATTCCGAAGGGCCCTTCTAAGTGGACAGTTTTGAGCACTTCGGTTTGGAACGACCCTTCAATATGGCGGCCATGATTGTTTTCACTCCGAAGTGCCCTTCGGAGGGCGATATATCTCGTTTGGAAGGCACCGAAAGTGGGCGGAGCCGGTCGTCGCCATCTTGGCAGCGCGTCACCGCTCGTCACTCCCGGATAATCGAAAATGGGCAATGAGGCGGGAGCTGGTTGTTTAAACCACGCCCACCTAGCTCGACGGTGGTGACAGTAGCGGCAATCCACCTGTCACTCAAGTGGCCACGCCCTTAATTATGCAGAACTTTAAGGCTTAATATAATTTAAACGGATGAGTTATAAAAAAATTCACCCCCCTCACAGTTGTCATGAAGGGCAAAATTAGCTATATAGACCAAAACCACTTTTTGTACCAGGCTGTAAACATTTTTTTTTCTGCTGTAAATTTGGGCATTTTAACATGGGGAGTCTATGGGACTGACTCCCTTTTGGAGCCAGCCTCTAGCGGCCAGTTGATGAATTGCAGTTTTAGCGACTTCCGTGTTGGTTTCACGAGAGAGACCGGAAGGTTGCCGCTTGGTGTCTACACAGACCGTTTAATGCTGCTCATAGGAGGCATAAATGCATTTACACAATTACAACTGCACACTTCGATACCAGGGGCTGACCAGGCGTAATTTAGTCTGGCTTTTATTGCATCTGAGTTTTGAGCAGGCTGTGTAAAGATGCCTTTTTGATAAAATTCTAATTCCTTATTTAGAAATTGCTAGTAAATTTCACAAATAATAACAAAAAATGGCAAGTAACAGATTGAATTAAACATGTAATTTTGAAGTAAAGCCTGAAATAGTTTTTGTCTTGTAAAATGTACACTAATAATCTTTAACAAATATTTTTTACACTGTTAAAAATAAAGGTGCTTCATGATGCCATAGATTAGAAGAACGTTTTTGTCTAAATGCTTCCATAAAGAACCTTTAACATCTGAAGAACCTTTCTGTTTCACAAAAGGTTCTTTGTGGCGAAATAAAGTTCTTTAGATTCTAAAAAGGTAAGAAAGAGATGGTTCTTTAAAGAACCTTTGACTGAATGGTTCTTTGTGGAACCAAAAATGGTTCTTCTATGGCATCGCTGTGAAGAACCTTTTAAGCACCTTTATTTTTAAGAGTGTAGCCAACAAACACTCTACAATTTAAGGTCACAATTTGGGCTACAAGAAACATGAGTAGAACGCACTTCTAGGTAGACTGTTCATAAACTTGTTTGTTGAAAAGCAAGCAGAACCAATTTCTGTTTCTCATTCGTAAATCCATTAGTATGTAAACTATCACAATTGCATTCAACAATTTATGTACAAATGGATTTACTTTCTCATGAAAAGAAACTTGTTTGCTCGTGAAAAGAAACAAATAAACTACATATTAAATTCACAAAATGAGCCTCATAAAACAACAAATTTCTGCATTAACTGTTAAACTATACATAAATTGTTACATTAAGTTCAATACAACAGTTTACAAACAAACAGATTTACACTCCGCTGTTGTAGCCAACAAACACTCTACATTCCTAATGAGCCTGTTGGGCCTCGTTCATGGAAAAAATTATGATTTTCTGCATTTCTGAAAATGCATTTGTACGCAAATTGTATTTCAACTTCTGCACAAATGGATTTACGTTCTGTTTATGTTCATGAACGAGGCCCATTGCTTATAAAGGCCTTACAAATTTGCCGATTTTGAAGACAAAGCAGCCAGAGAGTCTGATTTATTGGTTTTCATGAAATCTGTGTTACGAGTCTGAATTTTCAACACAAGTGTAATGAATCAGTCCACTGAAGGCGAGTTGAAGTGTGAAGAACCCAAGTGCAGTTTATTTACAGTGTGATCCAAACATCCAAACAATAATCCGAGACTTGACTTGACATGAACAGACTTGACTTGACGAGGCATGAACAGACTTGACATGAACAGACTAGACTCACAAAACCATTAAATATTGATTTCAATGGTGTGAACGTCTCACAATCACAGCCTGTTCCTGTGCACCGCTTGTTCAATATTTCAGTCGGCTCTGTTCTAATAAGCATGTCTTCAACATTCATTAATAATGCATCTACGCAGAACAAGAGTATTACATACACATTTTAACATGACACGACTGTGTTGGGAAATCATAAGCAGTCGCTTTAAATAAATAACAAAAACAAGGCAGTAAGATGACAGCATGGTCTCAGAGAGCTTCAACTGTATACTTCAAAATATAATTTTGTGATTAATGAGTCTGAACCAATCAGATCATCTCCAATATAAACAAGACTAATTGTATTTAACGTCCTACTCAAGCAATCACAGATCTTTTACTTTCATCATTTCTGCAGAACGTTTTTATCAGGCCGAATCTTCGCAACATCTGGGACTGTCCAAGATCTCAAATCATCGTTTTGTCCCCAAATTGCTCAAGGTTTCGATCTGAAAGTGCATCAGTCCTTTGCTCTTCTCCCGTCTCATCTCTTCATCTCATCTATTTATCTGCCGATCCCAGTTCACAATCCTCTGGTGTAAAAGGTGAAGCAAAAAAGGATTTGAAGAAACACAGGCTTGTGCCGATGGGGATTCCTCACATTTTTTTGTTACTGTAGATGAAAAGCACACTTTTATGATTGCTTTCATTTTTTCAATGACAAACCCTCAGTCATATAATGCTGCTAAAATGTGAAAAGAGGGAGACAAATTGAGATATTTCTACTGTAATATATATATGTGTGTGTGTGTGTGTGTGTGTGTGTTACGCCTATGGAGAGTCCCCACAAGGATAGCTGACCAGACTGTTTGTGTGTGTGTGTGTGAATTAAATTAATAATATACATATATAATCTTTTTTTTTTAAATAACACTTTTATTCTGCAAGGATGCATTAAAAATAGGTCAATAGTGATACATTTATAACATCAAAAATATATATATTTCCAATAAAGTCGTTCTTTTGAACTTTCTATTCATCAAAGAATCTTAAAAAAAAATGTATTATGGTTTCCACAAAACTATGAAGCGGCACAACTGCTTTCAACATTTATAATAATAAGAAGTGTTTCTTGAGCAGCAAAGCAGCATATCAGAATGATTTCTGAAGGGGAGAGTCCCCACAAGGATAGCTGACCAGACTGTTTGTGTGTGTGTGTGTGAATTAAATTAATAATATACATATATAATCTTTTTTTTTTAAATAACACTTTTATTCTGCAAGGATGCATTAAAAATAGGTCAATAGTGATACATTTATAACATCAAAAAAATATATATTTCCAATAAAGTCGTTCTTTTGAACTTTCTATTCATCAAAGAATCTTAAAAAAAAATTTATTATGGTTTCCACAAAACTATGAAGCGGCACAACTGCTTTCAACATTTATAATAATAAGAAATGTTTCTTGAGCAGCAAAGCAGCATATCAGAATGATTAAAGAGGACTTAAAAAAACATACATTTTCAATTCACTAAAACAGCTGTATTTGTCAGAGACTCATTCCATGTATGGTTAGGCATATACACTACTAACAGCCTATGAGATGCTAGTATTTTGATCAAATAAATGCAGCTTTGGTAGGCATAAAAGAGGACTTAAACAAACATACATTTTCA